ACATAAATTCAACTATACTTGAAGAACTTCTAGGATATTCAGTGCTCATCCATTACTTACTTTGTGAAAGGACTGATACTCTATTTTGTTTTAATTTCTCTAATTTGTAAAGGGTCGTTAAATAGTTGGACTTAGATTTTAGGAAAAGCATTAGTGATATTATCCATTTGGCTAGATGGTATACCCTTCCAAAGATTTTCTCCTTTCTTCATTTATCTTCCAGAAAATATCCTATGCTATAATTGTTCTGCTTTCTAGATTTCCATGTAGATACCTATATTTGTATTATTCAGTAATGACAGAAGCCTTCTGCAAAAGTCTGCTCATTTTAATTCAAGTAAATAAAACTAATGTAAATACTCTTCCATTAAAAAATTAGTATATTGTAAAGCTGTATTAATCAAGTAAAAAATATATATACTTATTATTCTTCCCTAATAAACTGTAACCTACTAATGGCAAGATTTAACTTTGAATCTGGATTCTTCATAGTGCTTAGCACAGGGTTTTGATGCTAATAGAATCTTAAATGAATGATTTTACATGAGGCAACTGACATTCTCAAATAAGATTGATAGCATTTGAAGTGCAGTGACCTCTGACCTGGTTATTTCTTGACATTCTTATCAAGAAAGTTGTTAAAGTTTAATACTCACAATTATTTTTTAAAGTATTATTTATGAAAGCAAAAAAATATAAAAGCTCAATTATTAGTAGTTCTCTTTGCTAAAAAAGGTATTTAATATGAAGCATTAAATGAAGATTACATCATTATGTGGCAAAGTATTCAAACAGATGAAAAATACGGAACTCAAAATAATATCTAACCATGATACAAAATATAATCATATTTTTATGTTGATATACTCAGAAAGCTATGTAGAAATTTATAAATATGTTGATGTGAACATAGCAAATTATTTTTCTATACATGTCGTTAAATGTACCACTCTCTAGGAGAAAAGGCTACGGGCATTATTTATTTCTTCTTTATGTGTTAGTGTACTTAGCTTTTGTTGTTTTTGTTTGTAGTTCACATGTATTAATTTCACAACCAGGAAAATAAGGCCATGAAAAAAGAATTCCATATATTAACTAATAATTCTAAAATAAAATGTGCAAAGGAAAAAAACATATTTTGGTATGGTATTCACTTCAATATGAAGTACTTTTTAACAAAAGCTAACATTATGTGAGCTTTTCACGATTATGGTATTAAAATTCAACTATTGAAGTGTATATTCTTTCAGTGTGTAATACCTACTAAGGATCACTTCCTTTCAAATCTCTTCACCATAACCAGAATCATCATCATTATCAGCAGCAACAAACACAGATACTTTTGTCCTACCATTAGAAAACATTCATACATTTCACCCAGTGTGTCATAGTTTATCATTTTAGCATCCATACACATTTTAACTGGAAATCATTTTCTTTGGTTATTTGACTATTAATATACTTTGAAATTATCCACCCTTCGTCACTGGACTTTTGGTTTTCTTGTTCTGCTATATTAATTTTTTTAAGAAGATTCAAATTTATTCTTAATTGTTGGCCACATAGGACAAAAAAGGGAATAAGTGCATTTTACCTATTCAAAGTTTGTTTAGAGATACATGTTTTACACTTGGTGTCAACTGCCTCCAAGTAAATTCACACATCTAAGTACATTTCAATATGACAATAACTAGCTTCTCATGTGGACCTATACTTCCTATTTATAATCCTATTTTTTCTCTGTCACTTTGAAATTTAAATTTTAGGTAATAAACAAGCTGTGACCATTTCACTTCATAAAAGTAAGTCCAAAGGCAAATGTTTTTACTCGACTTCATCTATCACACTATAAACAAATCCCTTTGGAGATTTAGCTTTGCAAATATTAATGAAAAAAGAAGTATTTCCATAAGAATGTGATTAAACTAAAAAGGAATGGAAAGATTCTGGCAACACTTCACTTCTCTATATAGCTGAAATATTCTGAAGTTTACAGATAACAGCAGACTGTCCCTGTTTCAAGACACACAGTCTGTGTGCTAATTAGGAAGCCTTGATTATTTAAGGGCTCCAACTTCCTGATTATGCTTGGGCCAATGTGCCATAGTTAAAAGTTTTTCACTCAGGAAAATAAAAATAAAAACAACAAACAACCAGAGCTGTAGGGGTCTTCTGAAGTCATATTAAAGAAAACCAATGATTCCTAATTTATACATCGAAGATATAGTACACTTAATATATTTTTAGTAACACCTAGAAATTTACTTGGAGGAAAGAGTTAATACCATACTGATATAAACTGCTGTGAAAGACACAACTTGCAATATGGCTGTATGGCATAATGATGCCAATTTAACTGTTTCGAGCATAACAGTTTTCATATAAACTGAATTCAATCTATGAAAATGACAAAAATATGTATTTATGTGAGAGGTACAATCAAAATCTAAATAACTTAATTGGAGTTCAATGGAATTCATATAAACATTTTCTCTTAAAAAAATAAAAAGTCCAAACTGAGAAAAGCTTGCAGACCTGATCATTTAAAGGAAAATATGGTAGGTACATTTGTCACATGATTTGTATACCTAATATACTTACATTTTATAATCATAATCACTTATAGTATACTGCATATTCTAATTTTCAAAGCATTGTGTTATAAATTATTTCATTTGATGTCATAAAAATCCTTAACATCAGCATGGACAGGTTCTATTGCAAAGGAGAGATAAAGTTATTTCTATGGATTTAAATGGTTAAGTGGTAATAAAGTCTATGTTAGTAAATGTGCTTTATTCAACAGAAATATTTTAAATGCTTTAAAGTGTGAGATTTATGAGAAATTCCTTTTAGATACTTGAATTTACCTAAGGCTGTTAATGTGAATAAAAAATTAAGGAAAGAGAGAAAATGATCTTTCCAACCCAACCTATATAAAAGAAAAAAAACAAAACCACTTGAATCTGTCCATCAATCTCTAGCCCATTGTCATGGAGTCCCTGTCAGTTCACATCTCTGTCTTTGTTGCTGAAAGTTCCCTAACTAGTCTCATCATGTCCAGTTTTGTTCCACTGTGATCCAGAGTGATCTTTCTAAAAGGCAAGTTTAATTTATGTATCACTTCCCTGACATCTCTTCAATGCTATTTCTCATTTCCCTAAGAATGAAAAATAAAAGACTAAACATAGGGCCCTCTTTAGTCTAATGGGGTTCTGCACACAATACTGCACAATATGCACCTTGGCATATTGAATAATATAAGCTAAAGGAGGTTGAGAATATGGCAGAGGCAGAAGGGTCACCTTGACCTTCCCCCAACCCATATCCCTGAAGCAGGTGATGAAGCCCTCACTGAAGAGGTCCTTACACCCAGAGGAAGCAAGCATCCTTATATCCAAGATGGGGGAACCAGGAAAACTCCAAACAAGCTTTTCTAAGTTTCCACGAGTTTGTTACACTTACCTCATACTCCTCACCTCATATTTACATGACTGCCCACCTTCCATCAAACTTAACATCAAAATACTCGGCTGTTTCTTTCAACCTGAACTTCCTTATGAAGGTGCCCATGTCACACAGAACTGACATTAGGTCAATTTGCAGGCTTTTCTCCTGTTAGTGCACCTTTGCCAGTCTAATTTTCAGACCTAGTCGGAAATTCTAAGATGGTTGAGGAAAACTTTCTCCCCTCTACATGCCTCATTTTGCAACTCAGCACTGCCTCCATTCCTCTGTCCTCCAAACAAAGAGCTTCAGCTACCTGAACATGTTCTGTCTCACTTCTGGGCTTCTGTGCATGTATTTGCTCTGCCTGGAACATTCTCACATCTTTATCTGGCTATCGTTTATTCACCATTCAGATCTGAAACATACCCTCTGAGGAACCTTCCTCATTCCTTCTAGATTAGGTTAGATATCCCTGTGAAGCCTTTCTGCCCTGGAACCTATATTTTTTTGTAATCTTTTGTTTTCATTGACTCTTTCCCTCCCTGGCTGTAACTACGTGAGAAAGACACTGCACTTGTTCTGTATCCTGTGGTCCCGCTAGGGTCACCCGGCCAGTGTCTGGCAGCAGCCAGGCTGAAGCAAATCCTGTTGAATGAAACATTTACTTTCAAAACATGTAATATTTTAGTTGAAAGTACCTTTAAACTGACAAGCACTACAAACTATAGATCATAATGTTCTTCAATGTATCAATTTCATGTAGTCATTAATTCAGCCAGAAGTAAGGTTAAAGATGTATGTTTAAAATACACATTCTAGGAAAAGCATGTTTAGAATATGCTGGATAAAGCAAGTGATAGTATAAAATTTATTTAAAATGATAACCACATTGAGGATCTATTAGTTGTAAAAAGATAACAAATAATCACTAGAAAGCGAAATAACGACTAGGCTCTTCCCTGAACTACTGAGAAGCCCACAACTGAACTAAACTAAACTGACCTAAAAAAATAAATCAATAAAATGAATAGAAGAGGATGCTCCTTTGTTGGTTTTTTGAATAGCTACAGAAGGCAAGGCGGGGAACATTAGGTACCATCCCTGAAGTGATTTTCTACTCATTCAAACCTGCGTTCCTTCCCTTACTTTGAAAAACCTTTATCATATAAGAAAGGGAGAGGAAGAGGAAATAAGACAGGGGAACATTAGGAAGTGCCATCAAGTGCTTTTGAGGAATTCCAGTTTTTCCAAAACAAGAATCTGAGGGGAAAATAAAACAAAATTCTTGCTCACATCAAGCTCAGCTCATATGAGGCACTGGGGGCAACGCTAAGGACAGCCTGTCACCCTTCCTACACACAAACACATTTGTCTTGGTGGGTGGCCTCAGCATTATTCTGTTAACTGGCGACTTCACTGGCACTAGGCCCCACAGAGGCTTTTGTATGTGACACTTGGTTCCTTAACAGACTCTCCCAGCACAGGACAGATAGAAGGAAAAGAGAGGGTAACTTCTTCGAAGTGAAGCAGTACCGCATTCCACTGATCACCTGTTCATAATAGTGGATACTCTCCTCAGCCATATCTGTAAACGCTGATCTGATATCATTATGCATATTTTGTTTCCATCTTTCCCAATCTGCTTTCAGGGCATTATTAGCGCATTCCACTTTATCTTCGAGTTTTCCAATCTCTTCTACAAGCTGAAATAGATCACAAAGGAGATAAATTGAGCTATGTATTCTTACCACTAACTGAACTCATCAAATCTAAGCTGAACATTTTATCAAACAGCTTAGGAATAATTCTTTTCTTTTTAATATCCAGTATTTATTATTTGTACTAATTAGTGAACATAAAGCCACTGGATTCAGTCAGACGTTGAATAGAGTTCTACAATCTGCCACCAATTGGCACTTAACTCTGACTAAGACTTTCAAACCTTGGCTTCAGTCTCCTTATTTATAAAACAAAGGAAATTGAATTATGTTGTCTCAAAATTCTTTTGCCTAACACTCTCATTACCACTATTGTTCGTGGTGATAATATTTATGTTAAAAAATATTACTATTTCATTCACTTCAGCTTCCGATTCCTGGTCTTCATTTTTCAATTGTTTTTAGCAGAAAGCTCAATTAACTGACATGTTTTAACATCCATACAGACTATGCAGTCTGACCTGGAGGCCTGGAGGATTAACTTGCCAAATTTCACTCACCTGGTAACAGAGGCAAACTTATACCTCAAGACACCTGACACCTTATCTGTGCTCCCCTGGACAGGCTTAGTGTGGTATTTACACCTCCTCGCAACCTCATCCACCAACCTTTAAACATCTAATCAATTTACTGTTTTATATTTGGAATACTGATGTATTTATATATTTACATATATTTTATACACACATATGTGTTTATACAGCCAGCATATATTTGTTAAGTGACATCTCTGTACCAGGCACTCTTCTAGAATTCACAGATTTAGCAGCGAAGACAATAGACAAAAAAATCTCTTTTGCAAGAGTTTATACTCCACTGTCGAATGCAAACCATAAACAAGGTAAGTGAAATGGGGACTCTCAATTGATAATAAATGCTAAGAAGAAAAATAAAGGTAAACAGGGAATATTAGGATCATGCAATTTTAGATAAGATGACAGGGGAAAGTGTAAATAAGAAAGTGTCATTTGCATTAATGTCTGCAGTTGATGTGAGAGTGGACAACAGGGTTCTCAGTAGGAAAATCACTCCTTGCTGAGGAAACAGGGCAATGGCCCAGAGGTGGAAGCATGCTTAGATGGTTCCAGAACAAGATCAGCACGGCTGTGGCATGTAGCAGAGTCAAAAAAGAGGGAAGGTTAGAGATGAGGTTAGAGAAACAGTGGGTGACTGGATCTTACTGAACCATGTAGCCCATGGTAAAGTTCTTGGATTTTATCTCTCTCATGTTTTAAAAGATACATTATACATTACCACTGTTGTGTGACTGAAAGTTACCACTGTTGTGTGACTGAGTATTTGAAAGAGGCTATCATTTAAGAAGATCCACATTTTAGAGATGTTAACATGTGAAAATGTATGTCTCAGAAAGAAAATTCTTTTCCTTACAATGTCTGTTTGAATTATTTTTTTCCACTTCTCTGTTCTTAATACATTGCAGCCATATATGATCTATTTCCCTAAGAATAGACATTTGGTAGTATAGAAATCTTTTAGTACCTATGGAAGATCTAGTTCAGTGGTAAGGTTGATTGTTCATATCTTGTATGTGTGAAGGGAAAGTGCTTTATTTTTTACTTTCTTGTTTTATTTGTAAACTATCTCAGTGAACTATTTATTACTTTATGGGGATACATACTCTTCAGGGTAATTATTTTGCTAAATCTTAGAGGATTTGTCTAACGGGCTGTTCATGGGATTGCTAAAGGGATGTCTAATGGGATGTGGACTGAGAGAGAAGCTACGAGTACAACTGCCGAAAGGCCTGGTTCAAACAGGACCTGGGCCTGCTGGGAACAGTTCAGAGGCTGCTTAGAGAACCTGACTCCTCTGGGTTGCTGGATGGCATCTTGACATTTTTATTGCCAGATGGAGATTACTGGCAACCTATTTCTCTTCCACCTAGGGCCAGGAGGGGTACCCAGACCAACTGCAACCACAGTGCTCTTCTCCTCTGCTGAGGTCTTGCAATCCAACACTGGTCTGCACGGGAGTGGGGTTATGGACCGAGTGCCCTATGGAAACCAGCTTTAGGAAACACTAGCAAAATCACATGTGTTATCTTCCTCCCACTCCTGATGGATCTTAAAATGGTGTCACTGCCCTATGAGATTTACAACAAAGAGCTTTCCCTTTGTCAATCTGAAAATCCTCATGAAAGGCCTTGGCAGTGGTGGTCAGGAGGGTTGGTGCTTGCGCTCCAGCTAATAGTTCCCAGAGAGGAAGGCCTGTCTGTCCTCCAACCTCACTCTCACCTGCAGAAAGAAGCTCGTAGCATTTAAGAAGACTGGCGATTGCTTAGGCTGACCTGAGGTTAAGTCCCCCTTCTGTCTTTTACAAGCTCTGTGACATTGGGTGAAGACTACCTTTGAAGCCCTAGTTTCTTCACCTGATAAGTGAATATAATAATAATAATATGTATCACATAGAGATTTTTATAAAAGATGAACAAGAGAATGAGCATCATTTAATCTGCACAGTGCCTGCCTGACGATTTGCCTACTAAATGTTAATCTATTACTAATCACTGCCACCGTCACCATCGTCATCAGTTGGTGATATCAGTGCTGATTCCCTCCCCTCCTCCAGTATTTGGTCTCTGGAAATATTCCATTCCTCCATGAGGGCCTAGGTCTGAATCCATTTCCAGTGCAATTTCCTACTCTATTCTTACCAGTGTGGAAGATAATGTATATGCTTTAAATACTGTGATCAATTCTCATCATTTTTTATGGCTATATCTTGAGTAGTTTTTCCTTTCTTTGATGATTTCATCATTTCTTTAGTTGGAAAGGAAAAAAAGAGACATGAGGTATTTCTTCACATAAATCACCTTCCCATAATTTCAGTTCTAGGAAATTCTAATTGTTAATGAGCACAAAGTACCTAATGCAAATTAAGAATGATCTGGATCATTCTAACAATTTACAAACGTGTAATATTATTACATGTGCTTTTCCTTAGTCGACTTCAATTTTAGCAAGTCTTTTGGTACAAAGAACTATTCGTTCAGATGGTGCCATCTTGGCTCTGCACATACACTCTCCATAAAACTTAATCCAAGTGAGACGGCAAGATGTGTTAGAAACGTGGCAGGCCAAAGAAGCCCACTCAGAGCATCAGTGGCCCTCTGACCACACAGGTTTCAGTAGTTCTAAAAGTAGGAAATTCAATTCATATTCTCTACTGCAAAACAGTACAGAAAAGACCGAATTAAAAAGAATTAAAGCTTCAATAATTCTTTTCACACATACTAGAAGCAATCTGGCCCTCTGTTCGTGGAAAAACTGAAGAAGCAAGCAACCCCTTCTGCCAGGAAAATGATGAAATACCAGAAAAAATAAGAAAAGACTATAAGACAGCAAAGAAAAAAAAATTAACAGCAAAGCTAATGGGTAATGTCTAGCTTCAGTTATATTCAGCTAAAAATTAGCCACAAAATTAAATGAAAAGCATTAATACTAAGAGCTCAGGCAAACAAAATAATGTCCTCCAATGTGAGTCCCTACCACAGTACCAGTAACAGCAGCAATAATAATGACCATTATTGCATTTCTGCTATGGGCTACTGCATTAAGCTATATACTCGACATATATCATTTCATTTAATCTGCACAATAATGTTACAAATTTGGTATTATTATCTTCATTTTACAAGCTGGGGAATTGTGGGGAAAAAGGCTTTCAAGTTGAACTAGTTCAGCTCTTACCTGAAGAAGTTTGTAACATACTAGAATACAGATATGTTAAAATAAAACAAAAACAAAAGGCTATAATACAAAGCAGAACACGATATGCATCATAATGGAAGGAACAAATAAACTGATAAAGAAAGATACCAAATGGAGGATTAATTTTGACTGGGGAGGGGACATTGTGAATATTAATTCAGTATGCAGGGCTGGGGCAAGGAAATACCTGAAAGAGGATATGGCATAAACAAAACCACAGAAATGGTATGCTACAGAATGTGACAAAAGAATGGGTAAGAAGTAAGTCTGGAGTCTAGACGTGGGCAACAGAAAAGGGGAAATGCAGCGGGATATGCTGATCAGAGACTGACTAGGGGTATAAATGATACTGAGCATGAAATGGGATTCTGCAGGAAAGGCTAAGCCATTGGAAGATTTTGGCCAAGGCAGAGCTATACTTCAGACAGATTCCTGAGTTAGAGATATGTGGGTATGGTTAAAAGAGAGAGGAAGGAGGAGGGGAAGGAAAGAAACCAGTTATCATGCATTGGAACTATGGAGACAACAATGAAAAATGATGAAGATTTGGTTCATTCCCACTCACTCAGCAGCATTCACTTAGCATCTACCGAGTCTGCGTTAAGAACTAAGTCGGAGGGTAGTCCAAGAGGGTAGCATAGGAATTTCCCTGAATTCACCTCCTCCGTTGGACACACCGAATCTATACCTGCACAGAGGGCATTTCATCCTGAAGAAGAACCGAGGGCTGGCTGAACAGAGTCTGTACAACAAAGGACAGAGGGATCACATACAGAATGGGGGAGAAGTGGAGGCAGAGTAATGATGGGAACCCCACTCCCAATACAGTGATCTGCAGGAGGACTATCACTGAGGGACCCTCACAGACTCACCTTCCCTGAGACACAGCAAGAAAATAGCAGTTTAAAGGGCAACATGTAAATGAAGACAATCAATTTACTAACCCTAAAGCATCCACCAAAGGGATGGGGAACTACCTGAACTCCCTGGGGTCAGAGGTGCTGGCAAGGATTATTTTTACCTTCCCCCTCCACCTTGATAGCATGGGTAGGAGCAGGGTCAGGCACTCTAGCTCGCCTGCTGGGGCCACACCAATGTGCCCCAGGACTGTGACACCACCAGCCTGTGTCCATTTCAGCTTCAGCTGTGCCACCAAGGTAAGGCTCACTCAATACAGCATGCCCCAGGAACCCCCACAGCTTATGCCTGCTAAATCTCTGTCTCATCAAGGGAAGCCCAGTAGAATGCACCCCA